TAAAAGTGATTCCTTAAGCCTTAGCTTCCTTAATTTTGCAAATAAAGAATTATTAACATTGTTTAAAAAAAAAAGTCTATGTAATAAGAAACCAGTTATTTATTTAAAACACCTTATAAAACCTTCATTTAGGAAGGTAACAGGTGACTTTTAAACTGCCTGTATCAATCCAATGCACGATTTATTTATTACACTGCAAGGCAAGACAGTGAAGAGAGATGAGGAAAACAGGCTAAGGAAGACAGTGCTTGTTCTCAGAGAAGTTACCATCTGGAGGTCTGGAGGACAGGGGGACAATAATGGATATGGAGATAGTGGAAAGAGCCATGAGTTGGATGATATACATAAGAACTAAACCTAATCAAACTCACTGCTGTCAAGTCAGATCTGACTCATAGCGACCCCTCCTTGGGTTTCTGAGATGGTAACACAACACTACGGAAGTAGATTGCCCACCTTCCTTCCAAGGAGCGGCTGGTGGGTTTGAGCCGCCAGCCTTTTGTGCCATTTTCCAAAAAAATTAAGTCATACCATATTAACATATTGTTGTTGTTGTTGTTGTTGTTATGTGCCGTCGAGTCGGCCCGACTCATAGCGACCCCTCCTTGGGTTTCCGAGGCAGTATCACTACGGAAGTAGGATTGCCCAACCTTCCTTCTGGGGAGTGGCTGGTGGGTTTGAACCGCCAGCCGTCTGCTTAGCAGGCAAGTGTCTTAGCCACTATGCTACCAGAGCTCCCTATTAACATATATATAAGACATAAAATAGTAATAGCTACCATTTATTGAGTTTACTATTTGTAGGGCACTGGACTAAATGGCTCAAGTGCATTATGGCACTTGATCTTAAGTACAACTCTATGGGGTAAATACTATTGTCCTCAATTCACAGCTAAAGAAACCAAAGCTTGGGTTGGTTAAGCCCATAACTATAAAGAGATAAAATTGGGAGTTTATCCAGAACTGCCTGACTTCAAAGCTCATGCTCCGAACCACTGCAGCTTATTTCACCTTATTAAATAAGAGAGTAAAGAAATTAGGTATTTTTAATAACATGGATATAGGCGGAAATTTTTAAATATATATATTTACTATTAGTAAGCTGTTTCATCAAAAAGAGGTACAAACATAAAACTCCAGGGATTCACAGGCAGGAGAATTCAAAGTGACCAAGGAAGGACAATGAAATGGATCTGTAATTATGGAAAATAACTTTAAAATAAAAAATTAAGGGGATGAGAAGAGGGAATTCTAGTTAAGTGTACAATGCTAGAAATATGCACCACATATTTTCAACAAAGAAAATTATTTGACTAGTAAATAAAGTAGTACTATGTAGGCAATTAGGAGCTCTGCTGGCATAGTGCCTAAGGCACTTGACGGCTAACCAGAAGGCTGGTAGTTCAAACCCACCACCCCTTCCTCGGAAGGAAGGTTGGGCAATCTACTTCCATAGAGATACTGCCTCAGAAACCCAAGGAGGGGTCGCTATGAGTCGGGTCCAACTCGATGGCACATAACAACAACAACAACAAATGTAGGTAATTTGGATGGAAAAGTAAAACAAAGTCATATGATGAAGGGTTCTGAATAGCAATCTAAGGAATCCATAGTTACTTTGGTAGATAATGGAACAATAAATACTTAAACAGTGGTAAGACAACAACGCATACTAAAGGATGCCAAGTTTTAGGGACCTTTGCTTCCAAATATAACTTTATTGCTCTCAAACCTATCAACTGTTTAGTGGACAAAAAATACAGAAACATCAAGCCTAGATCAATTAAATTCACACTTTATCATTCTCACAGGGTTGTATATTTTCGAGCTCTCTATTATTTCTAATTATGCTTTTCCTCCAAATACAAATTGCTTATTTCAATTTGAAATTTTTTAAGTAAGATAACTGTGAAGGGGTATGAGCAGTTCTAAAA